ACATCCATCCTTTGGTAAGAGTAGTAGTCACAATTTTAAAATGTAGCCGACTTATTTGGGGGATATCAAATTCATAAATTAGTTACCACAAATTACCACAAAGAACCCAATTGTTCACTTTTAAGACTTTACTGTTGTGATTAGTAATTAATTGGTTATTCTTTATTGGTTATAAATTGGTCATAGTTCCCAAGTAGTTCTCAATGAGGATATTTTTATTTAATAATCATCAAATATCTAATTAGGAACTACCTTTGTCCTAAATTTGCTACTACTTACTGCTTAGTTAATCTTGCTTCTCTATTAGTTAATAGTATTAAGTTAAGTGTTAATGTAGTACTACCTATTACTTCCTGCATAGTTACTTGTTAACAACGAACCATTATTCTAAAGTGTTACCCATTGTTGTACAAGTAAGTTGTAAACACGTTTCCAGTACGTTTTATTTTGTAACATTTTTTACTACTCAACTATTAATTTGCCATCTTAATCCATCAGTCAAATCCTCCATTCACTCCAAATCAGACATTATAAATGGTTAGAAAAAAGTTATTTTTAGTTTTAATGTTGTACCTGATAATTTTTTTTAGGTTGCTAACTGGTTAATACCGTAATGATTTCGTTCCCATATATTTTTTTAATGAAACCAAATAACGTTACATTTCCCAGTAAACATTCAGTATTACGCCACTTCCTGTTTAATTTACCCGCGCCGGTCACATCTTCAGGCTGAATGTGATGACCGTTGAAATTCTCCAAGAAGGTAATGTTGTGGTAAATTAAAGTTGCATAATTGATCAAATAATAGCAATCCTTCCTTAATCTTTAATTTTGTCTAAAGTACAAAATGTGGTGAAATGAAATGTTCAGGCAACGCCTGCAGCTGTATTTGATTCAAGCGCGACTCGTTTCATGTCATTGAACATTTATTTTCATTAGCACAGTGCTCCATTTCTTTTGATTAAAACCTTTTAACAGTTTTATTTCGTAACGTAAAATAATGTTCCTGCTTAAAACTAAAAGAAACGGAAATACATTTTGTTTCTAATCCCTGCTTCAGATGGACTGTCAACCAGTGTTGCCAAACCCCTCCCTCAGAAAATCGCTAGAACCACCCTCAAAAGTCTCCATTTTTCACAAAAAGTCGCCAAATATGAAAACAAAGTAAATACAGGTAAATTTGGTAAAGGTAAAGGAAAGTAAATATATACATATACTTTACAAATGATGACAGTATAAAAAATATAACAAAAGATTAAGTATAACAAAAAATTCTGAAGTGAAATTAGGAAATGCTTGTGATCTGCAAGCACATCAAACATGATGGAAATGATGGAAAGACACAATGTTGGGAATTTGTTTTATGTGTCACCAAAGTGCATCCCTGTCCTGCTCAAATACAACAGATAAGAGATATTATGGTTCTCCAAAAACAAAAACTTTATTCATACAAACTATTATATTTCAGTCAACACACTCTATTACTACAAAGTAAGTGCAAAATACTACACCCAGCACACATGACACGATGATGCACTGTCTCTCTCAGTATCTGGTTGACATGACTGTGCATGAATTGTGGTATAACTTTTGTGTCCGTGGTTAAAACAAGATGTTCATTTTTTCTCCGCCATCTTGATTGATGCTTATAATGAAATTGTGGTGTGCGTCATGGCAGGGCGTGGCGTACTGGTGTGTTCACTGCGCAGTAAAAAATACAAAATCTCCAAAAAATCACTAGTTTTATTTAAATATAGCTGAGATAGCTCCTTGTCGCAAAAAATAAAAAAAAGTTGCAGCTACAATGAGAAAGTAGCTAAATTTGGCGACAAAATCCCCAAATTGGCAACACTGCTGTCAACTCACTTATTAGGAATTGGTCATAGCCTAAATAGATTCTCCTTGTCGATTCAGGCAGATTCATTTAGTGCGGTTTGTGAATTGCTTCAACCGATTTATTAAAAGATCCGATTCAAAAGAAGAAATAGTTCACGATTCGGACATCACTATGTAGGCGAATCTCTTGCATATAACGTTAAGCGATTGATGCGGTGATTTCATCTTGTTTATATATGTGCGAAGTGCGATTAAAGTGCAGTATGACACAAGAAACATTAAAACTTCTTTAATTAAAGAATAAGTTTGTTTTCTAACAGTATTATGAGGTCATGCCAGCCGGCATGTTTACTTTTTGTACTAAACAGGTTTGTCAAACAATTCTTAAACGTACAGTAGCGCTGCATTATGGCATTGACATGCTGGCAAACGTGCTTGCAGAATGACGTAATGAGATGTAATCATAAAGTTTAATCACATTCCTGCAAGGGAACTATTATGTACTTGATGCCGATTTTTAATTACTTTAGGTTATATATATAGAAATATGAACAGATAAGAGTCTTTTTTACTTATTAGAAAATTTAATTTTCGCCACTAAGCATTATGCAGGCAATCAAGCTGATTGTTAAACATCTGGGGACACCCAAAACAAAGCAAAATTGTCATACAACAGCAAAGAATGTGATTACCGGCTAACTGATCACAACAACAGTGTTCAGCTAACATCATGAATAGTGTTAAGTCACTGTGTTTTCCTAATCACATGCTGGCCACCATCGGTCCTTGGTCTCCACCACTAGTATCCCATCATGACACAGCATGGCTTTGAGGTCCCCCGCCTGGAGCTGACGGTCAGGCAGCTGATACTGTCTGGTGAAACTCCGTGACACAAACCCATGCTCGTCCATCCTCACCCCATGCCAACCTCTAATAAGCAGCCACCCTTCAAAGACCTGTATGAGGATGTCTTCTGGTTTAAACTGAGTCACGTCCAGCAGGACTTGAAATAATAGCTCTCCTGAATCCTCGTCCTCACTGTCTGCTTCACCCCCCTCAGTGTCCATTTTAACCGGCAGACATTCAGGTCCTGGCAGGGCAAACAGTTGATGATCTTCAGTGCATTCAGTGAGATTCCTGGTTTTGAAGTGCTCCTGGTAGCGCACAGGGCTTGCAATCCAGTGGGAAATAGTGATCCCCTCTCCTGCCATGACACTGGGCACAGAGGTTCCCTTGGCTTTTTGTGTAGTGAATGTGGAGTAGTGCAATGCCAGTAGGACCAACCAAAGCTATTAAAAGACAGTCCTCTGCTTAGGTTTCTGGGTAAGGGATGGGGCGGACCATTTTTAGAGCAGGCAGAGAGAACTGATATCTTCATATTACCGTGTAGGAAGCTTGTACTTAACAAGCATGACGCATTATGTTTTTCAACTTTTGTTTCAATTTTTATACAGCAAGAACACAAAAAACGGATCAAAAGTGACAGCAATGCATTATAATGTTACTAAAAGTATCATAGTTTTGACAAAAATATTAAGCAACAATGGTTTTCAGCATTATTATAATAATAACAATAATACATGTTTCTTGAGTGGCACATCAGCATATTACAATCATTTCTGAAGGATCATGTGATGGCTGCAGAAAATTCAGCTTTGCTGTCACAGGAATACATTGTATTTTAAAATATATGAAAATAGTAGACATGGACTTTAAAGGATATTGGTATTATTTTGAAGGAGAAAAGGATATTTAAAGGTTAAAGATATCTGCATATGATTTTGGCATGTTGACAGAGAATACCATAGTTTTTGTTCTGTGAACTGTGATAGTTTACAAACAGATATGAATGATATATCAATGCTGCCACCTTGTGGATATTTATTATGAGTACATATAGATGCTGGACATTTGTTTTGCCATAGTTAATTGGTAAAAAAGGGCCACTGAAAATTTCAGACTGGCTGAACACATGAGTTACATAGGCCTGGATTACAGTTTGTTTATGTCTTTGGATTTGTATGCTTGTTTGGGAATGTACACTACTGTTCAAATGTTTGGGGTTGTTTATGAAAGAAGTTTTTTTTTTTGCCTTATCCAAAGCTCCTTCAGAAACCATTCTAATATGCTGGTATGATAATAAGAACAAGTTGGGGGAAAAAAAACTTATTCTGATTATTATTTTTGGGGAAACCATGATACTTTTTTCAGGCTTGTTTGAATCCAAAATTCATTTGAATAGCGTTTATTTGAAATAGAAATGTTTGTAATGTTACTGTATAAAATGTTTTTATTGCCTCTTTTGATCAGTTGAATAAAATTAATTTATTTATGGTCTGATTCTGGTATAGAGGTCAAATAGAGACCATAATTACATTTTTATGTGAATGAAAAGACTGAAATCAAATGTATGTTCACATAATGGTGAACATTTGAGACCTTAATAAACTGCTGCATTATTTAGACACCAGCAGCATGCTGTGATAATGTTATCAAGCTTTCAACTTGTACTTTTCTAACATTCTTTCTGAGTTTTTATCTCACCGAGGAATTCATAATTATCACTATTATCGTCCTTATGATCATCAGCACTTCCTTTGTTAATAAAGGGAAGAGAGAACTGTTAACACATTCAACATTATTATATGCTGTAGCTCATCAGAAAATATAATGTGATTATTTCAGTCAAGCTTAAGTACATTTCTGACATTGCAAATTCTTTTACAATTATTGTTCTATATAATTTATTGTGTGTTGGTGTGTAAAAGTAACTAATCCAATTAGCAGTTTTATTTTGCAGTAGGAGTCACTGAGCTTATAATCTCTTGAGACTGCGCTCTACTAATGCCCTTTAGTTGTTGCCTTTCTCTTCTCGAGTATTTACCCACCTCTAGCTCTTGTTTATTTATGAATGGGGAATAAACAGACCTGTTCCCTTTTTTCTCCCTCCTTTTATTTGAGGAAGAACCATTGATTCTCTGTCTTCGTATAGTGTCTTTCTGTGTTCCCTCTTCAAAGCCGTCCTCCTCCTGTCCTCATCCAGTTACTCTGGCTCGGCTTGTTTGTTGTCTGGTGTAACGCTGTTGCTGGGGACGATGTCAGAACACATTCAGCTCTCAATAGCCCTGTGTAGGATTGGCTTTTACACGGTAAGCCGAGCAAATGTCTCCATGTTTTGCTGTACATTTTATGCATGCACCAGTTGGTGCCTTTTCTTTGATTTGAGTTATTTCGATGTTCGTCCAAACTTATTTTGGTGGAATTATGTTGTGTAATATGCAACAGGCTACCTGAAGCCACAGGTGTCCATAGTCAACAATATACGCAATACGAACACTATAGTAGTTTTCACATGTAGCTCTACATGTATGGTTACAGTAGCTGGAGTCATGTTCGACAGCTTTCATGAGCTGGTTGCAGTTCAAAAATGATTAAACTGTGGTGAATGTAAGTGTGTGTTCATCCCCAGGGAGTAGTGTGGCAGGTGTTTTCGGCAGTTAACCCCCAGGTTAACTTTTGTGCTTTTATGTTAGAAGTCACAGAGGAACCTTATATAGTAGAAAAAAAACCAAATTCTAATACTATTGTAAAATGTTCTTTGTTATGACTTGAGGTCTTTCAGCATTTATCTAGTCTTCCATCTTAAGTTACCTACTACTGAGATGTGCTGTATTGTTCTGTTTTGTTTAACTCGTAGAAAAAAAGTAAATTCTGTTGGATTATGTCTTTTAAGCTTCACGTTATTAACATGAAAGGATGTGGGCACAGGGATATTTATGTGATACCTGGCAGCAGCGATGGTACATGATCTGCTTTGGTGAAGATGGTCACACCCTCACATAAATTATGTATGTTGTATATAATATTAAATATCCTATCAATTAGTTTTAATGCCCTAGCTAGGGCTGGGCGATATAGCTAAAAAAATGTATCAACGATATAATGTTTCATATCATTCGGTATCGATAATTATTGACATTTTTTATAACCTTTTGTAAAACAAATGTTTAAATTTAACCACTGTATTTTTAAATTAACCCAATTGAGATATTTATTGAGACAAGCAACAAATATTTTTTGTTTTAACAGTCAAACACACAATAAAAATTAAACAAATATCTAATTTCTAATGTTTTATGTGCAGATTAAATAGGTCTTAAGAAAACTTTTGGCTTGTCTCCCGAGGCCACAAGAGGGCACAATGAGCAAAATAATGCAGCACATTTAAATTGTCAACGCAAGGAAATAAATGTCTATAAAAAAAACCTGCATTACGTCTAAATTAACTAATATAAATCAAATACAATTTCGTAAATTGCATAAACCATTATGAACAAAACGGCATCATGTATTTATGCATTGCTTAATACAAAGAGCCGAATCGCCCATCACGCAGATTGCATTTAAAAACATAAGAGACACAGTGAAAAGGAATAAACCTCCACAATTCGTGACGTGTTTTCTAAAAGTTTACTGTTTTAACTTTGCATGGCTACATCTCTTGTGTGACGCGAGTGCAGCAGTCATATTTTTCCATCTAAAAATGCGCTGAATATGCATCTGTGTGAATGGCTTGGTTTCGGTTTTCACCTAATCAAGATCTTCTCCGCATTGAGGTTCTATATTTCGCTAATATTTATATTTTGAATGCATAACACAGCAGTGGCGTATCTTGTGGGCTTAGACTAACAAAACATTAAAATGCAACAACGTCACTTACATCATCACCGCATCTCGCGCGCCACTGATGACGCTCCCTGACGCACTCCTAACATTCAAATGCAAATGTTTACTTTAAATTGTATTTATTATATATATATATATATATATATATATTATACACACACATATACACACACACATATATAATTATTATCAAATTAACGTTTAATTAAATTCCGAAGAGTGTAAAGACTCTACCGTGCGACTCCAGTTTTTAGTTGTTTTAATACTACAATTGATTGCTTCTGTTGTCCTCATTTGTAAGTCGCTTTGGATAAAAGCGTCTGATAAATGACTAAATAAATAAAAAATAAAATAAAAAATAAATTAGACTAATATTCATTTTTTTTATTCACAATCTCCTCATCACAGGCAGGCACAGCACTCATGTTCATGTTTGTGTGTGCTGTCTGCGTCATTTATAGCACGTGCCTATATCGAACATTTTTATATCGTTATCGTAGAAGGTGTACTGTCGATAAATATCGATACCGTTTTATCGCCCAGGCATAGCCCTACTGTTCAAAAGTTTTGATTCAGTAATTTTTTTTAAAAATGTTTTTGAAAAGTCTTTAAAGGGGTCATAAAATAGAGAATAATTTTTGCCACCAACTCCCCAGTTGAAATATGTATTATTCTGTTCTACCCTTCTGAAATGCCTGGATTTGAAATCGGAAGAGTTGTGACGTCACGATTTCCCCTCAACATGCCATTGTTCTGTGTCACCATCATATGTAATCAAGGAGGTGTGTTCTGAACTCATGTAAAAGAAGATATTTTGAAGAATGGTGGTAACCAAACTGCTGCTGGTCCCTCTTGACTTTCATAGTATGGAAAATATGCTATGGAATCAGTGTGGACCCAAAACCGTTTGGTTACCCACATTCTTAAAAATATCTTCTGTTGTGTTCAGCAGAAGAAAAGAAATTCATACAGGTTTATTGTAGATCTTACATTTTCAGGGCATTCGGCACAATAAGAATTTGAAAGCATCAGGTGTGTGGCCCAGTGTGGATGTGGTGTGTGTGTGCTTGTGAGGGTGAAGGTTTTATTGCATCTCATTAGTGTTCTATAGGACCTCTGAGACTGCAATGGAGGGGCATGCCTTCTATTTTAGTCCTGGTCTAAAATTGTGGCACGTGGCAATCGGTTATTAGGCCCCTAAAATCCTGTAATTTCTAGTTTTGCATGTGGATATGTGTGTTTGCTCGGTTCTGATGTCAGTCTGACATGTGTTTATTTACACAAAACCTTTAGTGACAGAACTCTACTGCTTATTTTTTTTCTAGTGTTCATGAGATGGTAAACCTTTGTTCACTGTTATTAGGAGCACAGTTTTCCTGTACAGAATACAAATGAGATGTGTGTTAACTGCCCGTTTGTTCCATTTCAGGTGGCCTTTGTGCTGATAGTATGACTGACAGCAACAATGTTTGCATTCATTAGGTTTGCTGAGAAGGCTCTGAGAATGCTTGGCTCAGATTGTTCAAAAACACAAAGTAGTAATTAGACAGTATATTTCCGGTTGGTTATGCCAGTATGTTTGTTGATATCAGGAACAGGAATGTTATGAAATGAGCTGCATCAATGCCCAACAACACTAAAAAGGTTAGCACAGTTGGTATTGTCAGGGTTTCAACATCGACTTAGAGGGGCAGTTCACCCAAAAATGAAAATTTCCTCATGATTTACTTGTTATTCCAAACTTGTATGATTTTTTTTCTTCTTAAGAAATACGTAAGAAATGTTGGTAACCAAACCGATTTGGTTGCCATATACTTCTATTGTAATCTAAGGCAATTTCTCAAAATAATTTCACTTGTGTAAATAATGACATCAGATTTTTGTTTTTGGGGTGAACTATCGCTTGAAATATTTTAGTTTAATTCTTTGGATGATATTCTTGTAGAATCTGCAAACAGACGTGCATCAAAGAGAGAGTCTTGTAATTTTAATGTTAATATTTACAGCATTGTTAAAGCTTGAATCTGGACTTAATCACAGTATAAACCAATTAAAATAATATAGGCATAATATCAAATGCCAGTCCCAGGGTTGCACTGTGAATGATTCAAAATGTGTATAAATGAACCTCAAATACTTCCTGAATGGGAACCACTTGATGGTGCCATTTCATTAACTATGACCCAAAACAGATTATTTGCTGTCCTGATCATCCTGTAACTTCTATTTTTTTATTATGAAGTAAAAGGTCTAAAACTAAAGTAGTTGAATATAATTATTAATATTTTTAGTCAAATATTTCGGCCCATTTTCCACTCATTTTAAAGTAAATGTTGGCAACTTTTACGAGTGTACTACTACATCGCTGACACACATGGACTAAAAGCCACAAAACAAGCAGGTTTATCTTTTTTTTTTCCAAAATAACATTCCAGTCTTTCATTGTTCACTAGTGGTCAGTGTATCCGTTTTATCATGTGGACTTTTATTGTGAAGTTTTTTTATTTTATTGCTGTTGCTTTGTCGTCTTGTTTCCTGTGTAAATTGCATGCCTTTGTTTTTTTCTCATTTCAGCCGTTGTGCGTTCTTGTGTCTTTTCCTCCTTTGACATTAGCCTCTTATGAAAAGGATGCTAGAATGAGATGTGAAGATGAAGAAATCGAAGCAAGACACGTTTATAAGATTCATTGAAGCATCACTTTAATATCAGTTACTGATGACTCTGCGGTTTGCGTAGCTGTGCTTAGATGACTAAAGTGTCAATTTCCAGGTCACAGGCTGGCTGAGCTGCAAGATGATAAGTAAGTGTTTACCATTCCTGGTCCTGGAGCTCCTCTAACACTGCACAGTGTGTATGTGTCCTTTATTTGACACAGTTCATTCCATGTTCACTCCAGATTGGGGGAGCTCCAGGACTATGTTTGGAAAACACAGAGTTATAACAATGGGAAGCACCACGTGTTTTGGTCAGACAGCTTGCCTTGGTGTATACACCATCATTTTAAAAGTGTCATTTAGATATTACTAAAAATGTGTTACTTTTATTCAGCAAGGAGCTGTTAAATTAATCGAAAGTGACAAATTTGTGTAAAAATTGCACACCTGCAATGATTATTTCTTTGTGAGAGACAAATGAATCAAAGAGGTGTAGAGCCAAACAAGACATTTCTGGATGATTAAAGGGACAGTTCACCTAAAAATGAAAATTTGTGTCAATTTACTCACCGTCATGTTGTTGCAAACCTAAAGGACTTCTTTCTTCTGTTGAAAGTAAAATATAATAATTTGAAGAATTTTGGCAACCAAACAGTTTGAGCCCATTGACTTGCATTGTATGAGCGAAAAATCCTTTAATGTTGCACAGAAAGAAGTCACACACATGGTGAGAGAATTTTAATTTTTGGGTGGACTATCTCTTTAACAGAAAAGATTTCTTTTGTGTGTCAGATCAAAGATTAGGTTA